TGAGCACTACTGTAAGGTTAACCCTGCATGGTGTAAATGTTTGAAAATGATCAACAGTTGAAAACATTAGAAATTTAGAAAAGTAATCAAAAAGTAATCAAATGTAATCAGTTACATTACTTTAATAAAGTAATTAAAAAGTTACACTACTTATTACATTTTAAGTAGGGTAACTTGTAATCTGTAACCTATTACATTTCCAAAGTAACCTTCCCAACACTGGTCATGGACTGTCTACTTAAAAAAACTCAAATTATAAGGGAAACAGCCCAAGGCAAAGAGCAGCTCTTCAAAGGGAAACTATCCTCAGACAGTTTCCATTTCTGAAGAGGCTGCTATAGGTGAAGCGCCTAACTTACTACCCTCTGATACAGGGGAGACAGCCTGACCTAGGAGACTTATACGAGAGCTCAATCCAAGGAACCAAAGAAGTGGAACCACCCACTTAAGGCCCCTAGTAAGGTGGGGGAGGGGGTGGCAGCCCAACCCATACATTCAGACCAAACAGAGGGAGCAAGGAACCCTACTTCAATATCCACATACTTAGTGAGGGACATCTTGTTCCACTCAAGCCAAAGAGCAGCTGGTCAACGGGAAACTGTCCTTAGACAGCTACCAGCTTTGATGTTTCAGGTGTGCCACCGTAAATACATTGGAGTCAACCAGACCATAGAAGCTGCTAAAAAGAGAGCAAGGAACCCTACTTAAAACCCAAAATCATTGAGGAGGGAAATCTTGCTACAATCTTCATGAAGGGGATAGCCATCAAAGGAAACTGTACATCTCAGATAAACGTCCACTTAAGAGAGGTAACAAGAGGTGCTCGAACGGAAGAGGTGCTCCTCCCGTGCCCCATCTACAATCCCCTTGCTCGATCCCACCTCACTGCAATGATGGCCGTGGGAACCGAACCACGGAGTATAGGAACTCAACTCTCATCCCTCGAGAGAGAGTCAGGCCTGGGTCGAAGCGATTATTGCGACCGCATCACACAACACGCATTAAGTGTGCTAAGTTCAAGCGTCACTATAATCCTTCCGAGAGCAGTATGTGCTCATGAAAACGCTTACTGCTATACCTCAGGAGAAAACAGAAAAGAAAAGCTCCTTATCTTTCACTTTCAGTCAGTCTCGCGAATGCATCACACCAGTCACATCCACTTTCTAATATTACATAGTTTATATTTTGTATAAATAATAGGAACAACATGGAAACATCCTGAAAAGGGAAAACATTTCCCGTCAGGTCACTTCCGTTTTCTGCCTACAAACCATCCAAACGGTCTGGCTAGCTGTTTCGGTAAAACAGCAGGACGCAAACCGCGGACAGTAGGCTGTCAATCTCACCGTGACCGCATCACAGCATGCAGTCTATATGCTCAATACAAATGCTAGAATCCCTCGAGAATCAAGCGAGAACAGAATCACTGCCGCGAATGCATTGCTATGAGCCTGTTCAACTCCCACTCCGTTCAAATGCTATATTCCCTCAAGAATCAAGCGAAAACAGAATCCACTGTAGCGAATGCATCTCTCGGAGCCTGTTCAAATCCCACAAGAGGCAAATGCGCTCATGCAAACGCTGTCTACAATCTCCGGTAAAAGTGAAGCAAAGAAGAATCAGGTTTGCTACCTTCCCTCTCAGTAGTACAGCAAATGCATACGATGAGCACATGTAACCTCCTCATGAGTCGATTGCACTCCATCCACATTTATTCACAAAGAAATAAGTGCAACGAGCACATTAAACTCCCTTGAGAGCTGAATGTGCGTGCTTCTCACCCACACAAACACAACATATGAGTCGCGTGAATCCGCAGGTATCAACTGTGCTTGAAGTGGGCCGGTACGCACCAGTACGCAGTACCAGCACGTCAAAATTTAAAGGTCCCATATTGTCAAAACTGAAATTTCCTGGCTTTTTTCATGATAACTGGGGTCTAGGTGCTATGTAACTACCATATAAGTTTCAAAACCACAAGTGTCAATCCACAGTCAAATGCACACAGCCTGCATAAAGTAGCTGTGATTTTTCACGAACCGTTGTGACTTTCGTAAAAAGTTGACGTCAGAACTACACAGTCACC